AAATTAAATACTGAAGTATAAATATGGAACATATAGCATCTGCATTTGTAATATACATCTCCATCCAAATTCAATCTCAATTGTCTGATAACATCTGTTTTCAAAGAATATGCAAAATATACAGAAATACAAATTCTGATTTGGTTGACCATTAATAGATAGCTACAACAAGGCACCATCTGTTTAATCTGAGACACTCTTGCCACTTCCACTACCCATCCTAATACAAAGATAAAGTCAGCTTTCAGCAAGATAGCAGGCATAATCATTCTTGAAAGGAGCTATTTGGATTTGTACATACATAAATTTACAGCAGGTAAACTAGGCATAGTTTTGTACAATTTTTTCTATTTTACCTATTGCAGACAGATCTAATTATGACCATGTGTCTCTTAACTGAATTAAAGTTAGATTGCTGAAATTCACTTTGTCCAGTGCAACTCAATGTTTGAAAAGTGCAATTTTCAAACAATCTTATTTATGAAGCATGCAACTGTACTGCTTCCCCATTTGCACTGACTCTTTTTTCTTCTTCTTTTATTCAAAGGTGTCCAATTCTCAGAAACTGCCTGGACAAGTTTCTGTAGTTTTCTTGGCAAGGTTTTCCACAAGTGGTTTGCCATTACGTCCTTCCTAGGGCTTAAAAAAAAGTGATTGGCCCAGTTACCCAGCTTGCTTTCTGCCTATGACAGGACTAGAATTCACAGCCTCCCAGTTTCTAACCTAATGCTTTTTGACCACTACACCAAAGTGGCTCCACACTGACTCCACTATATTTCTAAACCTTTCAAGGTGCTTATCTATATACTACTAAAATTCTCATTCCCAGAATCTTTAGCTAGGCGAAATCGGGCATCATAGGGCAACAATTGTTAAAACCAAGGTACCTTAAATGGGCTAACTTATAGAATGCATTTCAAATTCAGGGCTCTTGCAGAACTAAAACCTAACAAATTTTATAAATCATTTTATGACATAAAAATTATAAAACAGTTAATGACATAATACGAAATGTCTTAACATATTTCCTGTGCTAATGTTTGATTGTGCTATATACAGTTTGACATGGGCTATTTTCAAGGCAGATACATCTCTGAATGTATCGCAACTTTTCCAGTGAAGGCAATACGTTAGAAATCGTATCACTGTTAAAGGCACACAAGAATCTTGTGAGCAAATACCCCTGAAAGAATGACCCAATGGGTCATGGGTCACCTAGCTATCTTCAAAAGATTCAGCAGCTTGGGGCCAGGTTTGTTAGATAACTTCTGATAATACTGCATATGCTTGATTACGTAGTTGATTTGTTATGTTCAGCTCATTATATAATTGTTCAAAAATTACATAGTAACCAACTTTTCACAGCAAATTAAGGGGTGGTATCTACATTCAAAAATAAGGATAAGGTATCGAAATAGATGTGGCCTATGTATCCAAAACAACAGATCCTGTCCAGACCCAGGATCAACATTTTTAAATGGATTTAATTTTTAAACCCAAAAATAATTTTGTATAAAAATTGTTGCAATTTTGTCAACAGTAGTACTATTTAAAACACTGTAAAAACAGATAAACAGTACTGAGAGCTATACTAATAGCATCAAATGCAGTGTTAAAAGATAAGGTTATAATTCAGACAATATTTGGAAATAAGATCATTTTTTAATATTATTGGCGTTGATATTATTAAAAAGCTGGATCTGACAAAAATGTTTTCAATGTATAACTACTTCGTATTACCTCAAGGCAATAATCACAAACTTTACACAAGAAAAACATGTTTTCCCTACATATTATGGGAGAAAAAAATTCTACAAAATAATTTTCATCTATTAGGAAATAAAATAATTTTATAAAATCATCTTATACGTGATCTAGAAATACTAAATTCTTCATTCCCAAATATCCATTCTACTTTTATACTAAGACAAAACCACAAACATAAAATATCTGATAGTTACTAAATCCATTCCCAAGAATTTACAGAATTATCTTGCAATGAGAGGTATAAGTAACTGCACATTACAAACACTGACAACTGCTTGTTTCTTTTCATTATGACAGAAAGTAAGGAAAAATATCAAAAGAATGCATCTTATTTATAATATACTCAAAAACAAATTATATGGTCAGTTAAACATTGGGGTGCCATGGCAGGGACAAGACTTTTAGATTCCAATACATATCACAGATGCTTTTCTGTATGTACAAAAGCTACACTGGAAGAAAGCTTGATATCAAAATGCTATTCTATAAAAATCATTGGAAAACAAATCAATTGTCTAGATTACTATGACTACAACCTTATGCTTTCAAGTAGTGGTCATTAAATTAATATTTTGGCCCTTAACTCTGTAATACTTAAAATCAATAATAGGAAGTTTTCCTTTTCAACATAAAATCTGGTAATTCCCCTTCAAACCAAAAGTATACAGGTGTTTCCTGGACAGTTTATAATCTTGACATTGATGCCTGCTTTCCATTGTCAATACACAGCCATCAACCCGAGTCAGAATTACTTTTGTACTTCGTTGGGAAAAGTTTGCATATATCTTTTCAATGCATATACATTCATGTTCTTTTTCATTCATATGCACTTTTATTTTCTGTAACAAGTAGTAATGCATGGCTTTCCAGATGTCAAACTCTTTGCAAGGTACCAGCTAGGGAAATTTGTTATATTTCTGAATCAAAACCATAAAACAAGATAATATGTCCAACCCAGACTGAAACCCAGCAGGATGATAAATTATGACAGGTGGAAGGCCTTGTATTCAGGTATGAAAAATCAAGGGCATAGGTACAGGACTGGGGATACTTAATGATGGTAATTTGTGTGAAAATGGTCTAAGGGCAACTACCAGCTGAAAACTAGCAAGCATTGTATTAGATTATGTCCAGTTTATGGCATTCGACACTAGTCAGACAGCACTCAGATTACAGTTTTCCTTTCTTTGCATGATAAAGCTGGAGAAAATTCAGAAGAGAGCTATCAAGGTGCTAAAGGGTCTGGAAATGAAGCTCTCCAAGGAACTAGACATGCTGAGTTGGCCAAAGAGATTAAAGGGAATCATGATAATGATCTACAAATACCTAAAAGGAGGTCATGTGCAAATGGGATGAGCCTGTTCTGTGTTGTGATGGAAAACACAGCAAGGGCCAATGGACTGAAATGAAGAGATGATTCTGGCTAAATGTTAGAAAGAACTACAAGGTAGCAAGAGATGTTAAGCAGAGAAACAGCCTCAGGTTCCATGGGGAGAGGATTCAACTACAGACTAAGACTCCCCTGTTGGGATTTCTGCAGTCAAGAGGAAGTACAAGTAGTCCACGACTTTTGACCCCAACTGTACCCAAAATATATGTTGCTAAGTGAGAAATTTGTTAAGTGAGCTTTGCCCAATTTTACAACTTTTCTTGCCACATTTATTATGTGAATCACTGCAATTGTAACATGAATAAAGCAACTTATGTGAATCTGGCTTCCCCATTGACATTGCTTGTCGGAAGGTCAGAAAAGTGGGAATCACACAACTCCGGAACACCACAACTGGTCACACATGTGAGTCAGTTGTCAAGCATCCAAATGTAAATCACAATGACCATGGGGCCACGATTGTGAAAATATGGTCATGAGCCACTTTTTTAACCCCGCAGTATAACTTCAAATGCTTGCTAAACTGTTGCAAGTTCATAAGGGGCATGCATAAGCATACCAACGTTCCTACCATCCCTGTCTTAATGTTCTCTTTTATTCGTATCTATTTCATGTATTAATAATCAGGTTTATACATATATATATTTTATATATACATATACATATATACATATATATATACATATATACATACATATATATATACATATATATATATATACATACATACATATACACAAACACACACGAACATAATACAGAAGCCTGATGATGGCAGATGAGATTCTGCCCAAACGTTGCTACAACTTTAAAAGCACAGCTATAATGACGTGGGAAAATGCAATTGTAACATGAATAAAGCAACAAAGCTGAATACCATACATGTAAGTACCCGCGAAAACTTAAGCACACACACACACACATACATACATATATATTATTAAATGCATGCTTGACAAAACAAATAAATAAAAATAAAAAGTCGAGGACTACTTTTACATTGAGAGATTCCTCTCAGGTATGGGTCCTGCTCTTTCCCTCCCCCAATAGTTACTTAGCATAAGAACCTGGGGCTGAATTAACCATGGCTCCACCAAGAACTAACCCAACTGCCTCCACGGCACGAAGAGTTGGAGATAGACCTGCAAGGTGTTACTCCAAGCCGAGCCCTAACTCCTCGACTAACCTGAGATTTCCCACCTGCTCGGAAGGGGCAGGAGAAGCAGCACCGGGGAAGGAGGGGGGCGGAGGAAGCGAAGGGCCACGGGCCCTTCAATGCTCGGCGGGGAAGAGAGTAGGCGGGAAGGGGACCCCCCCCCCACCCCGCGTCCCTTTCTCGAGGCCAGGCTAGAGGCAAGTTCGAGGCGCCGGGCCTGCCAGCACCACCCCCGAAGGGAAACGCCGGGCGGGATACAGGAGGCACTCACCGGCGTGCTGGTCCCGCGGCCACAGGTAGTAGGTGGCGGGGATAACGATGAGGGCTACGAAGCTGGTGAGGAAGTAGAAGAAAGTGTTGCCGCTGTCATCGTACTGGAACTGCTGCCCGGCCATGGCTGCCCGCACGCCCCGCCCCCCCGCTCGGCTTGCGTGCTCCCTCTTTCAAGCAGCCCCAGCGGCGGCCTCTTGCAAGGAGGATCCCGCGAGAATGAGGAGGGAGGAGGAGGAGCGGGAAGAGCAAGCAGCCTTCGCTGGCTGGCTCCCTCGCCCAGCCGCCCGCCCGCCCCGCCGGCCGCTCTCGGCGCCAGTTCACGCTTTGCTCCCCCGCCCCGCCCCCTGCCCCGCTCCGCTCCGGCAAAGCCGACACTCCACGCAAGGAAGGCGACGTGTCACTGCGCAAGCGCCATCGCAACCATTGTGACGTCGCAGTGGCGAGGGGCGCTTCCGGGTCCTAGGCCGGCTCCGAGTAGGATTGGCTGAGCCGACGGGTTCTCTCTTCGCCCGATTGGCTGGGGGAGGGTCCGGCGGGAGAGTTCGAAAGAACGCCGAAACAGGTGTGATTGTTTTCAGGTGACATCATAATAGTGGGTGGGAGAAGGTGTGGGTTTTTTAAAAAATTAGTTTCCTTCCAAACATGCAGCTTTGTTGTCAAGAAGAGGTTTGCCTGTTTGCGAGATTTTTTTCCCCCCTACACTAGTCCTACAACACCGGTATTCTTTGCAAATTTCTAGGTATTTTTACCACTTGCGAAGGTGAAGATGTTTTGCGATTGGATCGATTCGGATCTGTTTTAATAACACATTTGTATCTTATTTATATTGATGGGTTTTATTTAGTATCTTATGACTATCAATGAGTGTTGTCTCTTATCATTTATGCTGATTTATAACTTGCTGCTTGTATGTGCAATAAGAGCTCATGCACTCGAGAAAAATTCCTTATGTGGCCAATAAAGAATTCTATTTGCTGCAATCAGTTGTTTAGGTTTCCACAATGTGTCATTAAGAAACTACAAAGACTGGTTTCTCACAGTAGTACCTATTAGCTGACTTCATTTTATTAGTCCACGTCAATCACATCAATCCCACAGACTACTACTGTGTTTCTCCAACAATACGCACCCCCAATAGGAAGACCCAGCATGTTTTCTAGGCATAAAATGAAATTAAGCCCCTCCCCCCAAATTTAGGCCTAGTTTAAAACATGCAAAATTGGGGGGGGAGGCAGGGGGGGAACTTGCCATTAGGAGTGCCCTGCGGGCAGCTACGCCTCACCATTAGCTGCCCCTAACAATCAGGGTGGAGCACGGAGGGCTCCTTTACCCCCACCAAGCGCCTTTGCTGCAGACCCGGGTCAGCAGGCGGACGGCATCGGCGTGGATGTCCAGCAGCGTTTCAGCCATTTCTCAGGCCTCCGTAGCTTCCACGGTTCCCACCGGTGCTGGCGCCTCTCTTGCCAGCACCATTTCCAACAACAGCGTCTGAGTCGCTCCCACTTTTCCCCTGTCCCCGTAACAACAGGGAAAAAAAGATCTTGAGGTACCTGGGAGCGCTGCGCACTGCGTTTTGGTTTAATCTCGAGCGGCTGGGTGGGCGTGAGAAGAGCCAAGCAAGCTCTCTGCTGCTGCTTCCCTTGGTGCTCCAGCCTTGGGCTCTGCAAGTTTGCAAAAGTCCCGGTGCGCAGCCCGTTCCTGCATTCCAAGCGCCCAGGCCGAGCTGCAGCTGTCCCTCGCCAGCGCCATCTCCAACAACAGCGGCGGCGGCGGCAGCGGGAACCGTGGAAGCGTTTCATCCACTTCTCGGATGGGGGAGCCGCCTCCGTAACTTCCACGGTTCCCGCCACTGCTGCCGCTGTTATTGGAGATGGCGCTGGTGAGAGAGGGACAGCTGCAGCTCGGCCTGGGCGCTTGGAATGCAGGAACGGGCTGCACACCGGGACTTTTGCAAACTTGCAGAGCCCAAGGCTGGAGCACCAAGGGTAGCAGCAGTAGAGAGCTCGCTCGGCTCTTCTCACGCCCACCCAGCTGCTCGGGATTAACCTAAAACGCAGCACGCAGCGCTCCCAGGTATCTCAAAATGTGGTTTTTTTCCTGTTACGGGGACGGAGGAAAAGCGGGAGCAACTCAGAAGCTGTTGTTGGAGACGGCGCTGGCAAGAGAGGTGCCAGCACCGGTGGGAACCGTGAAAGCTATGGAGGCCTGAGAAGCGGCTGAAACGCTGCCAGCAGACATCCCCGCCTGCCCACTGACCTGGGTTTTCAGCGCTTGGTGGGGGTAAGGGAGCCCTCCGCGCTCCACCATGATTGGCCGTTAGGAATGTCTGGTGGCAAGGCATAGCTGCCGGTGGGTCACCCTAGGCGAGGGTGCGCGGGGTGGGGGGAGAAAGAAATTAATTCACCCCCGAAAAGACGTCCTAGCCATTTTTGGGGGGCTCAAAAGAAAATAAGACCTGGCCTTATTATATGAGAAACACGGTATATGATTTCCTTGTGAGTTAAACTAATGGGTTTACAGTATATACATATTCAGTTGTAAACATAGTTTATTGGTTTACAAACCATTCTGGCTAAATTGTATTAAGTCACAAGCAAGCCCCGTTTTAACAATGTAATCTGAAAAATCTCCATTTGATTGTCTCAGTTTTGTTCCTTTGATTCCAAAGAATGCTTGTTAAGAACTTAGAAGAGAAAGGGAGCTGTTGAAGGTTGAATATATAATGTTTCTAAGCCAACTGACAGATTGGAAATTGTGAATCTGTTTCTAAATTATAATCTGTAATTTCCCAGTATCTGTTGGGTAATCTATAAAAAACATTAATAAATTGTGCTGGCAGTCTATTGAGATGAATAATTTCACTCTGATCAGAATACAAACATGCCGTGGCATTTTTTTATTGCACTGTATCCCCATAAAATTGACTTCATTTTGACCCCAGCCCACTTGTGAGGAAAGGCTTAAGTTATTCTTAGCCAAACTGGTTTTAAAATAACCTGCAGCAATGTCAAGGCAATTAAAATCTGATGCACTTCATATCACTCTTCTGTGAGTGTCAGTCAGGTGACAAATAGGGGATGGGGTCAGCTTAGCACATACTGGACACTTCGGCCTAGCGTAGGCAATGCTCCTTTCCTGTAGTTCTAGTTTTCCTTTTTTCCTCCAGGAGAAAACTGGATACAGCTGAACCTTGTTTGTACCAGGAGTTCCCCACAACCTGGCCAAACAGCTTATCAGCTACTGAGAGAGTAACATTATAAATCTAGAAACTCTATTCTCTTAAAATCTAGGTTTTGAAAAAGAAATTTCTTGCATTTTTGCAAGGCAGTTTCTCTGTCCTGCCAACCAGCTGTTTTGCAAGCTTGGTTTGACTACACCCAAAGGCCGTTTTTCATGAGGCAACTGGGCTTTCTGGTTTTTCTTTGAAGGTTTCACTTGTCATCCAAGAAGTTCTTTAGCTCTGACAACTGTTTTGATTACAGTTCAGGATTCTTTCAAGCTTCAAGTTTGTTTCCAACCAATATCATACTGGTTGGAAACAATACCAATACTTCTTGTACAAAGTTAGAGTGAAGACTGTTTTTTGTTTGCAAAAATTGGAAGGTCCTGGTCTTGTTTTCCCACACTTGGCATCTTTAGTTTGTACTACTTCATTAATTGTACTAAAACTGTGGTTTGATGAACCATGATTTACTAAATAAGCCACCGCTGGAAAGATTTATACAACATTTACACAACTACATTTATACAACTACAGCATTGTTTAGCACAATGACTGAATCCATGTTCATATGAAGGAGTTAAAGTGAAGGAGAAAGGCAATTTGCTTAATCTTTGTCATTGAGGAGGAAGACTGCATTAAATGTAATTAACACAATCCCCAGGAGGTTAACATGAAATATGGAAATGTTTTTCTATAGCAACCTTAACTAAATAAATGAGGTATGCTTAGTATGTTGTGGCAGCATCTGAAAATGGGCAATTGACCAAATCATCTAATTTCCAAAGACATTAAATTTAAGCCAAAACAGCATGTCATGGATAAGTTTAAATTTAATTCTTTCTGGTCAGTTGTACCATGGGAGCATCTGCACCCAATCTGCTTTACATAGCTAATCCTTCAGAAAAAAAAAAAAGCTTGAATAAAGAACTGAAAAGCAATTCTCTTTGTTATCAAACTCATAAGGCCTGGCAGCGCAAAATGTAGTCCCAAAGTTTGGCTGAGGTGACCAAATAATATCTATTTGCTTGAAAAACTGGAAGAGGATGAAGACCCATGAAGCTTTGACAGTCTTCTCTCAGGAAACAGTAGATGGAAGAGTAGAACTCTATTTCATAAGGCATATTCTCTGACCAGTATAATTGCATTGCTAATACTTTTTCAGTAAGATTAGGTAAAGCAGGGGTCCCCAACCACCGGTCCGCGGACCTGTACCGGGCCACGGAACAAGTCCTACCGGGCCGCTGGCTTGCTGGGCGCCGCCATCTTTTTTTGATGAAAAAGT